GGCCTGAGGGGGCGGAAGAGAAGGGGATGGCTGTGGAATTGGCAGACTTTGCCTTCACACACACGCTGAAAACAACTGAAAACTGCTACTCACCAAGGTGTGATAGATCGATTCCGTCCTCCTGCTTGCTAGCCACGACGTACGCCCATTCCTTCACGGCACAGGTAATATCTTTCTGTCATATGTGGCCTCACATCTACTTCACATAGTCTACTTGTACGTCTGTGCCTCATCAGTGATGCTGAAGTCTTTGTACCTCACGACAAGCAGTGGTCTGTACAGAAACCCTGATGGTCATCAGCATCCGGCGTTGCAAATTCGTTGACCTGAGCTGGTACGCTGGCATGCAATCCGACATCGCCGGCGAATCTTAGACTAACCTTTCGAGTTCATTATTCAGCCAGGAACGACTGGGTGCTGGCAACGTGGGATCCGGGCAGTCCCGCTCCAAGGATCTGCATTTGTGAAGTGCAGAAAAAGTAAAGTGGCCTGCACGCAGCGTCCCGAGCAGACCATGCCCCTTCTTTCTCTCGTCTTTTTCGGGCCTCCTTTTCGCTCATCATTTCAAGCTTGGAGACACAGATCTGCACAAATGCTCTTCGAGAGATCCTGCGGCAGTACTTCCTAAAGAACATGCTGAAGCATGCTACAGATATGCATCGTGGCTAGGCGTGAGCGCGACATGCGTTGTGTCCTGCTGCGAGGCTCCGAGCGTATGTTCACAATCCATTCAAGTGACATGGTTGTGCTTCATTCGGCACTTTCGAGTGCCAGTGGCGAATTTGGCGTGCACAAATCACAAAGAGTATGAAAAAATCCTTTCAATCTAGGCGCTGGGCAGGTACGTTCTCACAATGTCTTCATTGTCCGGGGCCTACACTTGCCGTCCCGCAGCCGGATGCCAAAACACACACCACCGAGGCCCAAATTCACCTTCTGTGACTGGTGGCGAGATTTGGTAGCCGGTGGTGGCATTGGACGACGCAAATTGCTCCCACATAGCCCCGCATCCACAGAACCCACGTCCCTGCATGCCTTCACCTGATCACCTTCTCTCCCTACAACTACTGGCTGTGTTTGTCAACGTGGTCCTTCCAGTATCTGGGTCTGCACCGAACTCAAAAAGCCCGGCCCTTCGTCAGCACGGCATAGCAACATCGCAAGCGCATCCTCTGACTCTAGTTCGGTTGATTTTCTTAGGTCTTGGCGCCATGGACCCAAACGTGGAGACGACTTTCAGGCGAAACCTGTCAAGCTAGAACTGCAGGGCATGCCTCAGAAAGAATGCGAGCACGGTTCATCACCACGGTTGGCCTCTGGTACATCTGAAACTGGTCCAGGTTGCTGGAATCACTGCTCGATGCCTCAACTCGTCTGTATCTATAGCATTCGCAGTGCACATAAAAAGCCCTGCAGAGAGTTTCCTCCTCAACACGTCTCAAAAGGAGACGCAGGCATGGAGGCGAGCCAAATGAGTGGATGACGTGGGGGCTCTACAGAAACAATCCCTCTGGACTCTGGACCTTATCTTCCCCACCCTCCACTTGCACCATCGGGCGGGGAGATCCGGCAAGAGTTCCATGCCTGGGGCCCCTCAATAACTTGCTAGGGGAAGCAGCCGCAACAATAGCGGAAATCACATCAGCATGTCTCGCAAAAGGACGGTGAAGGCTCCTCCTCGGGCGTCTCCAGCATGGCCGAGAACTGGTCGCAGACGCCAGCGATGGCTCATAAGGACGTTTTGTCCCCGGTGACAGCCGATGAGGATGGCCGGCTGTGAGGACTCCGCATGGCATCCGAGGCCACAAAAGGCTCTGTCAAAAGCCCCCTTGCGCCAGGGCCCCTTTACTCCCTGCTTGCTCCCTGGAGTGAGTGTCATGAGTGCCACAACCGTACTGGTCTTTCCTTTCCTTTCTGTTGTTTCGTCAACAAACACGTCACACTTTGTAGGCCCAGTGGCCCTGTTCCAGGCCCGACTGGGACAAAAGAACCAGAATTCCGGACTCCACCGAATTCCGACTATCGCGATGATCGCAGACGCTTGAGGGTTGAAGATTGCATCGAAGATTGTCCAAGGCCCTCTTCAGGGCTGGGAGTCTGAGAGGGAGCGAGGATTTTTGTTTGTCAATTTTTCTGGTTGCTTTTTGTGCTTTTTCTTGTTTTTCCTTGCTTTTCTTATGGTTTTCTGAACATGCCCTCTGGTTCTGCCTGTCCTCCTCCTCTGGTTGGAATTCTTTTCTGTGTATTTTGCTGGTTTTTTTGGTGAGTTTTGCTGGTGTTCAGCTTCCGCAGGCCCCTCAGCGGTACCGCATGTCCGGAACCTGACCACATCTAATAACCCTTGGGGTAGCAATCCCCCCCCCCCAATTTGCAAACATGGTGCTCGCATGATGGGTTTGGACGGGATTCTTATTGTCTCAAAGCAAGCTTGCGCGCCTTCAAAAAGCCAGGGGGTTGGGGCCCCCCACCCATTTGCAAAGCGATGTTCGCAAAATGAGTTTTGGGAGCGATTCGTTGAACTAAACGCCCGCTTGCACACCGGGAATTCCCCCCCCCCATTTGCAGACACAATCTCGCAAGATGAGTTTTGCAAGGGATTGGTATGGCCTAGAAGCACGCTTGGGCGGCTTATAAAAAAGCGGGGGGGTTGGGCCCCCCCATTTGCAAACACAATAGTTTTCAAATGGGATTTGTTTGATCTAACAGCTAACAGCACTGCACGGTTTTAAAAAAGCGGGGTTTGGGGGGGGGGGGGGGGGGGGGCAAGGCAAGGGATTCGTATAACCTCAAAGCACGCTTGCACGGCTTTAAAGCAAGCGGGGGAGTGCGGAAGGGCAGCCCCCCCCCCCGCCCCGTTTGCAAGCACAATGCTCGCCCCCACATTTGCAAACGCAACGCTCGCATGATGAGGCTTCATATGGTCTCGAAGCAAGCTTGCAAGGCTTAAAAGCGGGGGGGGTTTGGGGGGGGGGGGGGCAGCCCCCCGCATTTGCAAACGCGATGCTAACAATGATGGGCTTGGAAGGGCCGGAGTGGTATATGGTCTTTACATGTCTTAAAGCAAGCTTGCGCAGCTGGACCGCAGGACCGGTCTCTCCTGACCAGGGGAACGCAGGACAATTGACCACGATCGCAGGATCAGAGAACCAGAGGACCAGAGGACAAGCCAGACCTAAGAAAAGGGAAAAGACAGAGCCAGGCCTAGGCAAAACAACACCGGACCCCGGCTAGAGCCGGAATCCCTTACCTCAAACACTCAAACCCTAAACCCTAATTACAAACCTAAATCCTTCGGGTTTACTACTGCCCGGCCGCTGTGCCGTTTGGCGTTTGGTGTATCCTCACAGGTTCCACATACGGGTTTTGGGGGTCTAGGGTTCATGGTTTAAGGCGTAGGGTTTTTAGGGTCAACCAAGAACGTGCGAAGCGAGCGGAACCCTAAACTCCTTCCATCCTTCCTTGCTTCCTTCCTTTCTTTCTTTTTGTTGTTTTATGTATGTCGTTCTTTTTTCTGTTTTTTCTTGCTTTCTTGCTCTCTATATTTCTTTCTCTCGTTCTTTCTTTCTTTCTTCCTTTATTTCTTCCTCACTCCCTTCCTTTACGTATTTCTTTGCTTTTTTTTCTTTATTGCTGTCTTTCTTGCTTTCTTCCTTTATTCTTCTCTTGCTGTCGTTGTTTCTCTCTGTCTTTCTTGTGTTGTTCTTTATTCCTTTCTTTTTTCCTCCATTCCTGCCTTTCCTTTTTGCTTTCTCTCTTTCTTTATTTGTTGTACTTCTTTCTTTCTGTCTTTCTTTCTTTCTAGTCGTGCCTTTCTTTCTTTCTTGATTTTTTCTGTCTTTCTTTCTATTCCTGCCTTTCTTTCTTTCTATCTTTTTTTCTCTTCCTGCCTTTATTTCTTTCTTTCTTGCTGTCTTTCTTTCTATTCCTGCCTTTCTTTCTTTCCTTATTTTTTTCTTCCTCTTGCTTCCTTCCTTTCTTTCTTCCTCTTGCTTCCTTCCTTTCTTTCTTTCTTTGTTGCTTTCTTTATTTCTTCCTGTCTTCCTGCCTTCCTTCCTTTCTTTCGTGCCTTAAATTTGAAAAAACAACAGGAACAAACACAAAAAAAAAACAGAAAAAACTCACAAAAAAAATACGATACCCGTCTGAGAGGGTTACGGTTTTGCAGCTGTCTTGGGGTTCCCCAAGGTTGAAGAGTTGAAGACTTCAGTTGAGGTCTGCAAGCTTCTACGGTGTCGTGCTAGACAGCCATTCCGAGCACGCGCTTCCACAAAGGAGCGTCCTAGATGCCCTGAGCTGCTTGCTGTCAGGTCTTAGGTCGCTGCACGGCTCGGCGGTGTCTTGGACCGCCGATCGCCAGACATCCGAACTTCGCTCTCTGCCTAATTCTTGCACGTGCAATACAAGCAATGCAAGCAATGCAAGCAATGCAACTCATTCAATCGGAAGCCGAGGCTTTTTGGCTCCAACATACTCCAACCCTTTCATGGGCCTCCATGTGATGCTCTCATTGTCGAAGGGCCATGATGTGGGTGAATGGGTGAACCCTCTGAGTGCAACTCAGAAGAGGAAGCGAGCTCTGCACTGCTCTGCACTGCTCTGCACTGCTCTGCACTGCTCTGCACTGCTTCACACATCGCACTGTGAGTTGCCCTGAGCCTCTGTTGGCAAATGACTCGGTCCATGCTGTGATGCAGCAGCGGGTCTGAGAAGCAACAAGCTTGACAAATTCACAAGGTGTCCCTACAAGAACAGTGCAAGCACATTTGGGATCATGACGCTGTGCTGAGATCAACGTCCTGGAATGTCCTACGGAGGAGACGCCTGCTCTTAGGGAGGCCAACTCAAGCTATGCACAACGCGCACTGCCACGCGGTTCACGGCACTGCACTGGAAAGCTTCTTGCTTTCTGCCGGTGCCCTGAATGAGTCTCTAGCATCCTTGTAGGAAGCGGAAAACAACTTGATGGTGCTTCTGCTGCACTGGAGAAGCTTCAGTTATCTTCAGTTGCCTGATGTGCCTGACCAGTAGATGAAGACTGCCAAGCTGACCTCAGTTTGCACACCCGCCTGAGCTTCCAGATGACTCCGTCCCTTTCAACCCCTTTCCGTCCCTCTCCATCTCGGACTCGCACACCAGCCAGCGCGGGTACCTCTTTCTAGAACATTCCTAGACATCCCACCATCACAAAGCACAATGTCCAGGGCACTGCAATGCGCAAGCACAGCTGTCCGCGGCTTGCAACAAGTGGAGTCGCCTGCGGGCATGGAAATGGAAGGCGCAATGAAGCACCGAGGAACCCCTTTTGAACTGAGAGCATGTCCTCCTCTTGCCCTGAGACCATGGGTTCCCTGGCAGAGTCGCCTGCAAGGGCACACACGCACACACTGAAGGCATTCAAGACTATTCAAGACTCAAGACATGCAAAGACACAAAGGCCCGCAAAGATTTGCTGGTGCTTGCCTTGGCCTTGGAGCATCGCCCAGGCCCAGGACAGGTCCTCCGCAGAGCAACGCGCAGAGCAACGCGCAGAGCAACGCACAGAGAACCGCGCAGAGAACCGCGCAGAGAGCCTACACGGCGGCCGGTTTACGGCTCGCCAGGCTCGCAAGTTGTCAAGTTGTCAAGTTGTCAAGTGAGCCAAGGGAGAAAGGAAAATGCATGCTTGGCCCTTTCCTGGGGCGTGTCGATGAGCCGCTCCACGTATCCGGTTCGCATAGGCGCCCGGTAGCCTTCGGCTTCCGAGTCCTCGACTTGTCTGCGTTGTGACACCGTGGTCTCGTGTGCTGTTCTGAAATCCACGCATAGAATACCCGAGCATTTGCAAGAATTATCTCGTATACATCTGGACAGTCTGCACAGATTGCAGAAGCCTCAAGCTGCTGGTAGTGAGCCAGCTCGGCATCCTCTGCCTCATGGGGTGCGCGGCACAGAACGGCGCAAGTCCTGGCCTCTTCGGGGGCCCAGCCATCGAGTTGTCGGCAGACTGACCTGAAGCCGACTCGCGATGCTGAAAAAAAAGAAAGTGCAATGGTAAGCATGGTAACCTCCGTTCTGCGCTCACATATGCAGCATCCAGGCGCCTCGGAACTCTTGGAGAGGGTGGCTTCCTGGACCAAAGAATGCCCATCCACTGCCCGCTGCATCCGGTGGTGATTTGCTTTGGCAAATTTGGCCTCCAGGATTGAGGTGTGCTGCGAGCTGCCGGGAGTATTCCTCAAGCACAGCACACCAGATTCAATACGCGTCGCAGTTCTGATAGGCAAGGTATCACACAATGTCCTCGTCAGCCTCCAGTTGCCTCAATCTCGCCTCGTTCACATGCAAAACAGAAGCAGGCAACAAACACAGGTCACTGCCATCCACGCAAACCTCCTCCTCTTCCTTGGCAAACTGCTCTGCCTTACTGGCGACAGCTCGGAGTATCTCGTTTTATCGTCGTAAGATCATCATCATCATCATCATCATCGGCTTTCGACTATTTTGGTAACTGTAGTAGCCGCTGCGCGAGGAGGCGAGAGTGCTTGGCTTTGATATCCAGCGCGCGCACAGCTGGCGCCGGGATGAACAAAGACTTTTATACGATCCCATGAACCACCTCAGCCTTTGAATTGGCATTCGGAGGAACCGCAAACTGGGCATTCTGAGATCCACAGCTTGACGGATGCTAGGCCCTGCCAGGCTCGACTTCAGCCTTGAGGCTTCCGGATACATTACTGGCAAGAAGAAACCTTGAGAAGGGAGTCGGGCGAGTCTCTGAGCATCCAATTCTTTACACACGCAAACCACTGCAGACAGTAACAGGCTGTCAAGTCCTGATATGGAGCATTGGAGTCGTACAGGTCGAACATGTCATGGGCAGAGAGCTTTGGGACAAAGGAGGCACCGATGACAATTTTCAACAGCTCAGGCACCGACGAGCACAGCGTCCTGCTCCTCCTTTCATGCACACGGTCGGGCCTGTTTTACCATGCTTTTTGAAATCCTCCCACCCCCGACTTTGTCACTGTATGAGCCCTGAACCAGAAGAGCTTCTGAATCGAAATGACCTTCAATTAGCGACGGTAGATGCTGGAATGTTGGGATTGCACTTGGAGTGCATTGTACAGCTGCCAGGCACGGAGGCTTTCCGATTCCGCTCCCTACAACTTCGCTGTCTTCTGACTGATGTGTCTGCAGCTGCAGTTCACCAGAGCAGCGCGAAACAAAATTGTCATTTGCAGCAGTGCCGACGGCCACGCCAGGTATTCTCTGTACCTGTCCTGCTGCAGCAGCTCCCGTCGTCTCTGCTCTTCCGCCGCTTGCTCCTCCCGCTCTCGGAACCTGAGATCACAAGGAAGACATCCTTGAAGAAGCGACAAGCACGCGAGTCAAATCGGTTCACGTGATCCGACATCAGCTCTGAGCGAATTACGCTTCAAGCTACATACCATTACATCATTCTTGCAGAGAGTGTGTAGAGAGTGCCTGTGAGCAAGATGTCGCCATGCGAAACACATGCGTGGGGGAGCGGACAACCACTGATTCCACCCGTCCCTGGTGCCTAAATTGAACGCATAAATTGAAAATTGCATGTGCATTCCGGTTCTGGGATTTAAGGAGAAAGCGGAGTTCAGTGGATTTGAAGCCGTTTCTCTGAGGGTGGATAAGCTTCCCTTCCCGGATTCCCGCTTTGCCTCTGATGGTGCCTCTGCCGAACGTCGGCCAGCTCTTGCAGCGGATGAGCCTTCAAGACAGAGATTCCAGAGAGATTCTCTTGAGACATGCTTATCATCTGCTTATCTGCCTGAAAATGACGCATCGTTCAAATAGTTCTTCACATCACATGTTACTACGTCATGGTTCGGCAGATTTGAACAGATGTAGACATGTTGGCCTGCGCATCTGAGTCAGTCGGGTCCGGGTCTGGTGCTGACATGGACCTTGAGGCACTGAAGGCTCATAAGGACCCATTTGCTGGTGGACGAAGACGCTGGTGGACGAAGACTGGGCTGCGTGCAGTGTCCCGCAACTGCTAATCCCGAATTGCAAGCAACGGCTTGAGGCAAAGAAGTAGCAATGCGCAGGGCAACAAGATTGCTTGCAAACAGGGCACCATGGGCAGGTAGCAGCGTCAGGTAACATCAGATCGCTTCTTTCTGGCCAATGACATGTTCGCTGGGCACCGCTTTGGATGCCAGGTGCGAAACAAAGAATCACGGACAGCTAGAGTTGATTTTGATATGATATGAGTATCTTTAGTCACCGGCATGCCTGCACAATTCTCCCTTGCTTCTTTCGTCTTTCGTCTTTTGTGATTCGGCACCTACAGTGCGGCAGCCTGGTCAATCGCCCGCCAGGTACGCCTCGAAGTCGGAGAACGTCACGACACCAGACTAGCATGCAGGCCAATTGAAATGTGCGTGAATATGACCCCTTGGCCAGTTCACAAGAAGTTGAAGAAAAAAATCCTGCCTTGGAACGGTCCATGTCATGGAAGATCTCAGTTGCTCGAGCTGCCGCAGGCCGGCAGGTCTCCGCACACCTCGGCTCAATGTCACTCCTACTTGTTTTCAGACAGGACCCGACGTACCCCTGTTGCACAGAAGTCTATGGGCAACACAAGGAAGCGGCAGGCTACTGGCCCCATATGAAGAAGAACCACCAACCAACAAGTGCTACTGGTAGCTCCATGTGGCATTCCTTGCCCACTGACATGGCAGCGTGAGAAGACGCAGAGAAGAAAGCTTTTATGCACTAATGGTGCTCGCACTTTTGGTTGGCCCGTGACTCCTGCCCACCCTCGATCATGAAAATTCTGATCATCATGCTGTCACAGACTGCGCATCGTCTCCCCAATGAAGAAGTATGGCACGGACACTTCATGGAACGATCGCAAGTCCAGGAATCCGTTGTCGTGCTTATCCAACGCTGAGAACCTTATCTTCGGCACAAGCCGGCAAGGATGTGTTGTTGTTGTTGTTGTTGTTGAAAACATCAGCGAGCAGCAGGACATTACCGTAAGTGCCCAGGCAGCCGCAACGCGCGATCACGTTCTCCAAAGATCCGCCTTCGATGCCAAAACAGGACATTGCACAGCTCGTTTCTTGATTGCTGCATGCAATCTGCCCATCTTTCAAGCACCACCCTGATCTTGCTTGAGCCTTCGCTCCTCCACCAGTGCCAGGAATGCCTGACCAGACCCAAAATTCAAAACTACACAGAACGGGAATCAGATTCGCTCTGACTTGGACTGTTTGTGACAAGCCTCCAGCCCGATGCCCTGCGATTCCTGCCTTTGCATTCTCAGGACTGCTGAGGGAATTTTCAAAAACCTGCAAGCTAAGCCCTAAGCTTGCAGTACTGCGACATCAGATCACGCAAATCCTGTCAGACAAGGGCAGCGCAGTAAAGGTCGATCATCATTGCAGCAGTCGTTCCTGCTTCTTAAACTTGATGCCAAATACTGCCCAAACGGCGCAACCTTAGATGGGAAGCGGAACTGCTTCATGCGCAAGTTCGAGGTATCAGACAGAAGCCGGCTCAGATCATCGATGTCCAGGAAGGGCTTCCCATCTGCAAGCGTGCATTTGAGAGAACCCCTGATCCCCTGGCCAGAAGACCCACAACTGAGCATGATAGCAGCCTGTGAATTTGTCAAAGGCAGCCCGCGGATCCATGACAACTCACAGCCGTGCGGATTCGACTGTATTGTGCTGAAGGAATACATCGTCAGCTGCTGAAGTATGAATGTAGCTGTTAACGGAAGTTGCTGTGTTTGCTGTAAAGCACACCACGCTGCTGACCTCTTTGCTGCTGGAATTACTCTGACATTTGACGCATCTCTACAGTGTGTGAGCACTTGAGGATGGATTCTTGCGATGGCCAGCAGTCTGCGTCTCGTAACTTATGTGTTAACTTGTGCTGCCAGTGCCCAGCACCTCCTTTTTCTGCTCTGTGTGCATAGCCTTCACCCATGCCAGCCACACCACGCGCTTCTTGAACCACGTTAACTGTGCCTGCCGACAAAGGCACAGCAACGCGACAGCGCGCCATCCCACACACAAGTATGGCTGCAACGGCACTCTAGTCCTTGGCGACTGCAGTCTTGCCATCGCTGGGAAACAGCTGCCAGAAGTCACGCTGCTTCTCACCCACATCCACAGATGCTAGAGACGAGCCTTCCTGACAAGGGCCACACACGTGAGTGCTGATGCAGCTCGAGATTCACTCTGGCCTCGAGCTTCATCCACCGACGGTCAAAGTCCAGCTTCCAGGTCCAGGTTGCGAAGTTTTTTCGCATCAGCCTTCCCAAGTCGCAGAAAGCTGCGACGAATCCTTGCAAATGGACAGCTTGAGCACAATCTGTGCCTGAAGCTCCGCTGCCTTTCAGCAGAGCGCAGCGCGTGGAAGAGCTTCGCAGCTCGAGCGGCACAACGGCGAGCAAGCCAACCTGTCATCTCTGAGAACGAACTTAACGAAGTTAACGAACTTAATGAAATTCAACGAACTTGCACGAGGCCAAGCCATGGCCTTGGGCAGCCCTCGCAATGGTAGCCGCTGCCCGCCTGCTCTCCGCAGCAGACCTTGAAACATCAAGAAACATCAAGAAACATCAAGAAACATCAAGGAACATCAAAAAGCATGCTGTTGAGTCTTGAGCCTCCGGCCGCCAACGTCTGATTTGTAGCTGCAACCGACTGCTCTGGCATCGAAGGAGCACAGCGGCCAGGGCCTCTGTGAGGCCAAGGCTGCCCACAATATCCAAAGGCTCACATCCTAATGAGCCGAGACCCACACCTTGCCAGCCATCAGCTTTCGTCTTCGTCGACGTTGCTGGAAGCGACGGTAAGCACGCTGTAAGCGCTTGGCCATCTGCTGCTGGAGGTCCGGCACCTCGATCAGAACTCCGGTGACGCCATGGTAAGGTTCCGCTTGAAAGCTATGAGCCTGATCTCGACTTTTCCACTTCGCCAACTCACAAAAACTGTCATCTTCTGAACTTAAACCCATGCATCCCAGGCAGATTACAAAAATTGAAGTCCAGTGAACATATCAGCTGGTCCCCGCAAATCCGATCAATGACCCTCTCCCGAAAGAGACGAATGCCATGCGTGCAGAAACAGGAGACAGGAAATGGAAAATTGAAAAAAATGATTCTAGCCATCTAAATAGTAGGTGCTTTGGGAGATTTACATACTCAATCAAGATCGTAGCTGAATTGAAGCCGGAATGCAATCAGGACTCAAATAAAGAACATGAACCTGATGTCTGGATCCACTGGTTCTGCTGTTTGTCTTTGACTTGATGATGCTCAATCGAACCGGTTAACTTACGATTCTATCTTGAATGCACATTGGCTCAGGAAAACGGCTCTCAAAGCTTCGGCCCAGAGCTGACACCCAAAAGCGCGAAAAAAGAGAAAGCGCAGTTCAAAAAGTCAAGAAGTTTTACAGTGTGCCCTCAGCTTTGTCAAATCATTTAGCCCCTCATCTTCTGAAGTTTGAAAGATGAGCCCCTGACTTTCTTAAATTACGAAATGAGCCCCTCATTTTCTCCAGTTGAAGAGTACTGGCCGAGCCCCACCCAAACCCTCCCAGACCTGCCTCAAACTAAATGTATAATTCCTGCTAACCCAGTCCTACTTCTGAGGGCGCAGGACAAACACTGAGGGTCTTAGCCTGGTCTTGGCAAAAAAGGAATTCAAGCTTTAGCACTCCTCGCTGGACGCCGGTGCTTCCGCAAGTTCCACAGGCACTCACCTTGGAGCGCTGACTTCAAGGCTGCAGTTCATAGGGTTTTGGGTCTAGGGTTTAGCTCGTCACTTCGGGTTTCGGCTGAAGAGCCTTTCAGTTCATTGGGCTTCAGAGGCCCAGGGTTTACAATTTAGGTTTGCGATTTTAGTAGGGGCTCAAGGTGCAGGGGTATGTTTCTGAAAAACGGGGGGGCCTCAACTTTAAGAAGTTCAGGGCACTCTCACCAAACAGAGAACAGGCAGCTCAACTCGGCATGGCAACCGTGGATTTTGGGATCTCCCGTTCTCCTTCGTACTAAACGAGTCGTTCGGGGTCTGAAAGGCTTGCGGTGCTCAGTCGACATGCCTGCAGTGGCCTGGTCCACTGGTCATTGCCAAGACATGCCAGGACACTTTCGTGACAGACCACAAACTTCACAGGCTCCTTTCAGGCCCTGCGACCATCGCGGTGGCCTTCTACCTGCCAGCTGGGGCCCGGGCCGGAAGATTTAGGGGGGCCTTCCGAAGCTGCTAAAGATTCCTATCACCTGTTGTGACATCATGCACTGAAACACAAGCCGCCTCTGTGATGCTTATGGGCTGATCTTCAACCCGCTGGATCACGGAGGGTTGCAGCGACTCCTGCGTTAAGCATGTTGAGACACGGTATGGTACGCATGTACACTCGTGTGACCTTACAAATCCTTGCAGACCTCGCAAGAGACTGCTCGTGGCAACCGCCGGAGGACCCTGTCACAAGCGACCATTGCCTCGGATAAGAGGCGAAGATGAAGATGGCGAAGATTGGGCCAGGTGGAAGGAGCGGAAGAGCGGCAACAAAAATGTCAAGTTCGCTTCGTAGGCTTCACGTTGTTAAACCAAGACACCTTTGCAGATGCGAGGCCGCACTCCCGGCAGAGTGCGGCAAGCTCCTCGACCTCTCATTGTGAACTTATTGAACTTCACGTTTCACAGAACTTCGCAGATTCTCGCAAAACTTCACCCCATCAGGAAACTTTGGCCTGGTGTCCAGAGCAGTCACAACCTGGCAGCGGTCCGAATGGATGCCAGCGCCTGCAAATGCCAGAAGTGCCTTTCAGATGATTCCACTGGACTCGAGTTCAAAGCGCAAAGCTGGAACCTCTGCAGCTCAGTCAAGTGCTGAAGCACTGCCTCAGAACCATTGACTGACACACATTTTGCTCTGACCTTTTGTTCAGTCGCCTCGATGTAGCGCTTGAAGCTGTCCCGGACCAGCAAGATCGGATCCTCTCTGAGAAGCCAAAGAAGCCAAAACATGTCACAAACACTAGAGGGGCTTGCGGCTTACGTTTCTGTTTGCGCAAGATCTCCTCGCCATGCGACATGGCTCCAGTCACATTTGCAGGAATGCACCGCGCGCAGGACCTTACGATTTGGCGTGGCAGTCCACATGTCAAATGTCAGTTGCGAAAATTTGGAGAAACACACACGTGCACCGAAAGTAGCCTAGGTGACTGCTGCATCGTTCAGCTTCAAGCTCCCGAGATCTCACAGCTGGTTCAAGGGAAAACACTCTTCATTTTCAGCCGTCTGGCATGCACAGCACATGGCATCCATGCTCCATGCAGCGTGATATCCCGACTGCGCTGGCATCTCTGTCACTGCCAGCAATAGACGGAAATACATTCTCGGGAATTGTCTGCATCGGTGCTCTTCGACGAGATTCTCCGTGGTCAGGCCGACGGTAACACGTGCAAGCACTCAAGCATTTCAGATTGGTACTTGTGGCTATCGTCACTCTGGACGATGAGACCCGGATTCAGATGTATCGCTGGGTCCTAGTTTCTGCATGTTTCTGCATGTTTCTACTCTCCCGCAGGATGGAGCTTCTCTGTCGTTGTTGGGCAAAGGCGGGGTCGCAGGAGGAACACAATGCGTAACGGCAAGCGCAAAGCAAAACGGTAAAACCGTTTTGGAACACCAGTTTAAGGTGGAATAAGTGCATTCCAGGAAAAGCTCTCCTTCGATCAAGCATCTTTCGAGGCCCATGACCGCTTGATCCTTCATTGTGCGGCTTGCGGTTTCTGTGAGTTTCACTGCGGACTCCAGACCCGTGTGCTTAATGTTCTCTCCTGTCTTGTGGGGGCTCCCTGATTAAAGTCGATTTGGCTGGGTCATTCAGGACACCCTGACTGTTTGGGGGTGCGCAGTGGGATACTGAATAAAGACAAACCGTCCCGGCGCCGCAACACCTGGCACGCCTTTAAGAAAGAAGATTGCCAGGCGTCGCTGCCCCGTGTAAATTTATCTAAACACCTCCCTATTAAAATCATATAAACCCCCGCGCCCGTGTAAACAGGAGCAAATCCAGCCTCGACTGTTTTGGGGGGGGGGGGGGGGGAACACTAAACAGGGTAGAACATTAATGCCCTTCATGCTGCAAGATCTTGTCTACCAAAAGGGCTGAGACAAACAAAAAAGTTCCTGACCTGCTTCTGGGGCACTGGCCGCCTTGGCCGAGATGCAATTGAGTGGCTCGGTTCCCCTGTTCTCTTGAGCAAAGTGCCGAGGGTAGTCTGCAAGTGTCACAACTGTTGCACAAACCTGGTAGGAAAGGGGGAGGGAGGTCTCACACCATCCAGTGATTCGTGGCAACGCCGGAAGTCACATCACAGATGGTCGAAGTCACAATGTTAATGCCGTTTCTCATTGATGCACGCTCCTACAGCTAACAAGTTCACCACACACAAAACCAAACCAATTCGATGTCCAATTCGATGTCCTTCCCAGAAGCACTTGGTCCACCCAGCTAATCCAACAATCATTGCTCCCAACTTCTCGATTATTTGAAACTTATCTACAGCCAACCCACCTCTGCATCCGCCAGGACAACGAGCACCACAGCCACCGCTACCAACAACAACCACAACGACGACGAGGACAGCAATCACGCCACTGAACCTTATGCAAATATATTGTTCCGTGTCGCCGTGTCAGGACCCCACCCCCCCCCCCCCCCCCCCGTGGTATCCCCCCCCCCACCTCAACCCAAGTCCCTCACACAAGGCTTAAACCCTGTATCCTAAACCCTAAAACCCGAAGCCCCAACCCAAAAACCCTAAAGCCTGCAACCCTAAACAAAGGTCTACAAACCCTAACCAACGCACAAGAACCACAAAACCTTGAAAACCCTGAAACCCTAAAAACCCTAAAACCTCAAAACCCCTAAACCCAAGCCCTAAACCCTAAAAGCCTAAATCCTAAACCCACCGCACTCCTCACCCCAACTACATAAAATCGGGCGGATACCTCAGCTTGGGGGAGGGCAACACTGCACCATCGATGCATTTGCGAGCCCTTTATCTGCGATGTCAGCCTGTGGGATCGCTGTCCGCTTGCCGTGCCGGTCTCCGGTGTCCTTGTGCATGCGCGTGATCGGCGTGCGCACGGAACTTGAAGTCAAAGACTTGCAGCATCAGCCGACATCAGCCCCACCATCACGAAAAAGGCAACTTCTCTTGAACCGGCTTGAAAAGTGAACCTCAGCGAGCTCCCCTGTTTGCTCTCCCTTTTTGCGTCCTTTACGTCCTCTTTTGAAGTCCTCTTTGTCGACGAAGCCGAGCCCGTGCTTCACCAGTCGGCCGAACTTGGCTCCAACTCCGGCTCAGCATCCTCGAGGGTCCTCCAGGGTCCTCGAGGGTCCTCCAGGGTCCTCGAGGGTCCTCGAGGGTCTTCAGCCAGCGAAGCTGGGCAGCTGGCGAAGTTGCCCAGCACAGTGCTGCATGGCAAATCGCATTTCTACTCATTCTACTCGTCTTCGACCTGCATCTGAAGCAACGTTCCAGGCCATCTCTTCTCGATTTCTGACAAGTCCTTGCTCGGAAGCTTCATTCGAATGACTTTCTGGAGATCTTTGTGAGGAGCCGCTAGCTCCCAAAGTGTTAGTGGAGGCTTCGTATCTGGCACGATAGTCAGGATGGCACCATGGGCAGCAACCATGGCCTTGGTTGCATGGCGCAGGTTGCTCTTGATTGCAAGACCCAAGGGTGTCCAGCCGTCCTTTCGCTTCAAGTTTGGGTCTGCATGCTTCTCTAAGAGTGCACGGATAAATTCGTTCTTGACGCGGGCGGGCGCCTTTTCCACTGCCAAGGACAAGGCTGAGGCTCCATCTTGCCGCACCTCTTTGGCACCAGGCTCATGCACATCCAAGACTTTGTGGAGCATCTCGCTTGTTGTCTTGTACACTGCCAGGTGGGTGGCGGTCTCTCCGGTTCCTTTTGCAGGCAGCGTCAGGTTAGCTCTGAAAGAAATAAGTAGGTCCACAAGTTCCGGGTTCCCATTCGACACGGCCATCAACAATGGAGTCCAGCCAGTACCCCCGTGGTAGATATTGGGATCACCTTTGCTTTCCAGCCAAGCCCTCGCAGCCGCGACTGAGCCCCCGAAGGTATCGCGCAGTACATCTCCTTTGAGGTCTTTGTACTCGTCGCCCATATGGCAAACAGTATCACGCGTGTCAGCTGAGAACTCAGAGAACTGGCTCCGGTGTCGCTTTGTTTTGACATTCGCTTCAGATCCTGGAGTCTTGTTGTCGGTCACCGCTTGCAGTAGAGCTTCACGGCGTCCTTGGCTCAGTCCGCATGATGCAACGCGACTTGCTGGCTTTCCCTCTCCCAGAGCAAGCACAAGAAGCAGTCCAACAGAGTTCCATCGGGTGCAACTGCAGAAGCTTGGCACAGTGCAGCTTTCATCATCCTGAAAGAAACTGTCGCAAAATGAATTCTAGCTCAGCGGCGTGAAGAACGTACCGTCTCATCATCCAAGCTCTGCAACTGCGCTCGAGCTTCTGACAGCTCTTGAGACAATCGCTGGTGAATCTTGCTCAGCCGTTGAAGCCTTTCCGGATCCAGATCGAAGAAGGCCAGTGGATTCCCGTCATCCGGAGCCTCAGAAGATCACTCGGCAACGTCACTCTTTCGCCTCTTTCGCTCTAAAGCAAAAGCGTCTGCTCTGCTCTGCTCTGCTCTCTCGCGGTCGGCCGGCAGAGGCTTTGCGCTGCTTCCGCTCGCAGCGCTGCAGGTCCTTCTCGAGCGCTGCGATCCGCTCCTACGCAGGGCGCTGGGTGTGCTTGAAACATCAACAACGGCATGGTCTTTGAAGCAGTCGTATCATGTTCTCAAACTTTTTGGCATGATCACAATGAAAATCCCAAGCCAGCGCCACAAAGCACGCACAGTCGCTATTCCGAGTTGTGGAGAGACTCGATCTGATGATATGGTCCTCCAGCATCATTTTCTCTTGATCCTCCTGCAACCAGCTCGTGCGCGATGCCCCAAATGCCGAACTGACCAATATGTCTAGTTGGGTTTTGGCGTTACATGCGTTCCAGAATTGAGGATATCAAACAATCTTAAAGGTACCCCAGCTCAAGCACATTTCGATTCAATCAGGATTCTAAATTCTAATGACACCATGGATTCTTGGAAGGTGCCAGATCATTCGTTTCATGTACGATGTTTACGGCGTTGTGGCTCTTTTGGGCGGCACGAGCTTACGACCGCGCTGGAGTGCCTTTTTATCTAGGCTAGCCAGTCCCGTTGCAGCTGCTAGCAGCTAACACGCGTGGCCTGAACTGGACTCTAAGCCACCCTTCTCCCGCTGGAGCTTTAAACCCTGGTCCCCCCTTCCCCCAACCCCCCTCCCGTTTCCCTTTTTCCCTTCTCCTCCCCTCCCTTGTGGTTCAGGCTGTAGGGCTTAGGTGCGAGTTTAGGCCTGTGCTTCATGTTAGGCTTTAGGGTCCAGGGTTTCCCCTCTTCCCCTGCGGTTCGTTGTAGCATTGCGAGCCCACATTCCAAAACACTGTACTGTCCCAATTCCCAATCCTCTAGCAAAATGCAGAACTGCAGCCACAAGCAGTGCCCCCGCCCCTGCCCTTCAGACCCCTTGGCACAGATCATGAGAGGGATCGGGCACACACATTTAAAGAGGCCCGACCTCGGCTGCCTCGAGAGTCTGAGTGGATGCCACAGATGACACAGAGTTCCGCCTGGGGACGGCGCAAATGTGCAATCAGAAACGTGGCGGCGTCTCTTGACTCCCAGCCTCTGGTCTCGAACGTTTTGAGAACTCGCCTGGCTGTTCAGTGACTTTCAAGGACTTTTGTGACGTTTGGAGCTTTCTGCAGAGGTACATCACCTCGGTGCAGATGCGCCTGGGTGTCCTTCAAGATGTCACCAGTCTCAGGGTCAATCAGGCCATCCAAGAGGCCCAGCACTTTCACCTTCAGCCGTGTCCCAGGCAAGATGCTCAACAAAGGAGCCTTGACTCGTCCTGACTACCTGGAGCTGCCTCGGCCAAGAGCTTCTCTTGCTGTTTCTGGCTGTTCTTGGACTTCTGACTGGAAAAGCCCAGCCAGCGCGCTGCGGCTTCGCCACTGGCACTCGTTCCCGTCGACGTGCCTGGTAGTAGAGCCCTTACCCTCACACAAAAAAGCAAACTGGGGTATTGTCGGTATGCCCTACAGTATCTCTATCATCAGATCCAGGTAGCTCTGGAAGTCGTCATTCTCCACGCTGCCAGGCGCTGCAACAAAAACCGTGGACTTCCACTGCCTTAAATTACTGGGCCCAACGTTGTGTCTGGTCTGCAGGTAAAGACTGTAAAGACAGACAGATCATCACAAAACAGCTATGGACCTCCGTAACGGGCAGCCTACAAGCGCCCAGAAACATGTTGCTCTGTGGGGTGCAGGCACCTGTTGCTAAGAATCCTGTCCTCCGGCACGTGCAATGCGATGCAATAGGAGACACGTCTTAGCGGCAGCACACGTCCTTGGGGATACAAATTTCAAGTCAAGACTTGTGGATGAACCAACTGTCTCGTGTGGCATCATGTGACATTGCCCTTCCTGTGTTCTGCGGGTTGGGGGGTATGGTTGGATTTGGCCGCAGTGGCCAGAGGCGCATTTGCAGGGTGCAGGTTGGGAGGAATGGTGAAGTGAAACATGCCGAAGGCAGGGCACAAAGAGAGATCAGACATTTTGACAGTAGCAGACCTGCCGGCCATCAGGACACAAGGTCTGGGCTTCAGTTGCGGGTCTGGGAGATGTGAGGGCAAGGGAAACGGGCATAGGCAAAGAGACATCGTCCTGAGCATCACACACGCGCACACGTGCGCACACTTGCATGTGCGAAGAAGGGCCGCTACAGCAAGCAGCATGCAGGCGACCGTCTTGTTGGAACATCTCTTGCGACCGCTTGCGGCTGGGAGACCTTGGCCATCAGGCAGCCTGCATGCTGCGCGACAGAGTTTCTCGCGGTCCATGAAGACGTCAGGAGCATCCTTGATCCTTGGACACAACTGTTTGCATCTGATTCGCGAAGCACCCTGTTTGTGAGAGGTATCCGAGCCTGAGCTCATACGCCTCTAGTCTACGCCCACACTTGACATTCCGTTTGCCGATGTCGTTAACAGGGAGTCCTGGTGCCTTTCTTGAGACAGAAGTCGCAACAAAGGCATCGTCAGGAATGTCATCATCATCCGCTTCGAGGCTTTGGACATCTTCCACCAACCTTACATGCAAGACGACTACCGTATACAGATTTTACAGCGCTTAAGCAACCGGACTGCACAGTTTCCACATGCAGACAAAGCACCTGTCCCAAAGTTCCTCTGCAAAGTCATGAGCTTCAGGAAACTCGCCAGACCCCGTGTCAAACGGAGCTACAATCCTGTTGAAGCCTGAACTCGTGGTGTAGTGATAGACCGTGACCTTCGCCACAGACATGTGACATGTGCCATATGAGTACCAAAATGTCAAAGAAGCCTCCTGGCTCTGCTAAGGCTCTGCAATTGTTCTGTAAAGGCAAGCCGCGAGGCGCCGGTAGGCCATCTGTCCTTCGAGGGCCTCGAAGAAGGGCAGCAGGTTGAAGCGGACGGGCCACAGGACGACGCCCGTTCGAAGGTGCTTCACGAAGGGAATCTCCTCTGACCAGGCGGTAACTTCGTAGCCACCAGGAGGCATCTTCTTTGGTTGAAGGACGGCTCCCATGTGGAGCCCCGAATCAAACCAGTGCTCCAGGTTCATGGCTTTCTCCGTCAAATCTTCCAGGACTTGATCCTTCCAAGCGGATAAGGAAGACTCCGAAAGACATGATTAGCAGCTTGATGTAGCAAAGGTCCTGCTTCTGGGATGCACTTTTTGCTCCTTGCTTTGCGATAGGCGAGATGTGGTGTCGCGTCCGAGGCTGAAAATTCTGAGCCGAGTTCACCATCTTTTGCATCCTTGCACAGGGCTGCACAAATAAGTGGAATTTCCAGTTGAATACTGCTCGCAGGACTGGTTGCCATTTGGTCGCACATCCTGAGACTTTCCAGGTATGCTGTAGCTCCCAAGGCATTCTGCCCATCAGCTTCGTGAGGATCTTCCCCATCGCCAACCTCGCAAAGCAGGTTGAACGCACACTTAGATTTCAATCAGGATGGTGACATATGGTGACTATGGGGTGCTCAACGGTGGTCAGCTCTCACACGGTCAAAGCTCCAGTGCCGTCCTCGAAGCGCACCCGCTCAAAGTTCCGGTGCCGCTCCCAGCGCTCGGCGCGCCGCTCCGCGCGCGTCCTCGCCCGGGGAGCCTCCGAGGCCTTTCCCTTCTTTCTCCTCCCCAGCAAGGAGAAGAAGGAACGCTCCTGGCTTCTTGCACGACAACACATGAGACATCTCTCTCGCTCATATTGCATCTCTCTCGCTCAGCTTTATCGTGTTATCTCGTGTCATTTCGTGTCATTGCTGCTTCGTCTTCAAACACCGCCGCGGCCTGCTCAGCGGGCTGTGGACTGTCCTGACTCTCAGACCGTGCTTGCGCTCAGATCTGCAAGATTCTGCAAGAGGGTACCAAAGGCTACTTAGACGGGTGTGTTTGGCAACTCTGTCGCGTTGGGTAGTGGGGGCGGGTGCGGAGGGTGAGGGAAGCCAAAGCCATCCCTTGCACCGCCCAGAGATGTCTCAGGGCCCTTTGTCCGGGCCTGCCGCTGCAAAGCGGTGCGTCGTGCTGCCGTCAGCGGCGACTCCTCGGCTGGGATGTCCGCATCCTCGCGGCCCTTGGTGGCTCCATGCATGGCCCAGCGGCTCCAGCAAAACGTCAGCCTATTGAAGCCTATTGAACACTACGAGTACAAGCTGGCTGTGGGAGCTCCGATACTTTCCCTGTACGTCACAACATCTTGGTCCCGAGCATGGTTCTGAAATCTGAACCACTGAAACACTGACGAGCGTTCAAATCTGCATCGAACAATCTGATCGATCCACCTGCAACTCCGCGCTGGGCCTCTCAACGTGCCGCGCTCTCCTTCTACAACTGAGCACCAGGTCAGCTCTACACTTGTCTGGCACGCGAATGTGAAACTGAACACACAGGATGGGGATGTGCTCGCTTTGCAGCATCAGCCAACCATCTCAGTGCCCTTGGCCCATCCTGTACAGCTGGCCATCAGATCAAACATCTCCGCCCGGAGGCACTGCTTATGACTCAATTCGAACCAAAGGCTAGCGGCAGCTCGTGTCTTACAACAGCCATCACAGCAAAAGCATGTCTCTTGGGACTTGGGGCCTGCGCCGACATTTCGCAGCACTTGAGTCAACCAGCAAGTGCCAGCGTTTGCTCTTCAGCTTCCAGCTCCTCCACTGCAAAAGGCGAAGTGTAACAGAACACTGCTCATTTATTGACATCCTGTCCTGCCCCCTCTGCCAAGGACCACTGTTCTCAGACAATCCCGAGACAAGTACTGCAACTTGCCGACGTGTTTAACTGCGCGCGCTTCAGCTGACCTAGCTCTCCCTAGTTCACGGCTTGGTGGCCCTTCCAGGCCACATATAGAATTGCAAGTATATACAGAGAACAACCGACTTGCACACGTGCCATACCATAACCTGCAAACTGCTGTACAGCCAGATACATATTGGCACAAACACACAGAGACGTAGCAAGCCATGCCGCAACCAGTGACGTAGTGGACAAGACCAAATGGTCCATTATGCGTTTTGACCCTGCAAATGTGAGCAGGGGTACGGCCGCAAAAGGAAGCACTACACTCTGCAACACGTTCAAATATGTGTTGAGAATGTCCAAGCCATCTCGCTGCCCTCCAAAATAGACAGCAACAGAGAGGCAAGGGATCAGAGCCATAGAGCGGGTGATGATGGCCCGCTTCCATGGAGCGACTTTCAAATCCAGGTACCTCGGATCGTTTTCGACAGCAGGCTAGTTGCGTTTGGGGGTGCATGGGACTGCCTTCGTTACATTGGGGGTGCGTGGGACTTTTGCGTTGCATTTTTGTTTTTAGGGTTTTGGGATTTCTTGTCCTTGCTTGTTCCTCAACTCGAAACCCGGCCCTAAACCCCAGCGTCCACAGTCAAATTTCTATTCACCTAGCCCGAAACACCCCAAACTCTAAACCTTAACTAGAGAACGGTCGACCGAAAGCGTTTTTTAGCAGCGATTAAGACCTTGTGAGAACGACACGGCTTCATCTCGCCCACAAAACAGGCACTTGATGCAATCACTTCCGTGCCGACAGCGACGGGCTGCATTGGAAATTCTTCCGCGGCGCTCATCAGCACATTCTTCACAGCCATGTTTGCGCCATTTTGCGCCCAGACTTTCGAGGACACTCCTAGCGCCCGCGTCAAGACACGCCGCCAGCACCGAGAGTGTCGTCGTATGCGCCCAAAATTTCGAGGATGCCCCACGTGCCAACGTCAGGACACGCCGGGAACACCGAGAGGGTCGTGGTTTTTGTGCCCGGAACTTCTCTGAGCTTTTTAAACTCTTGGAGCTTCCTGAGCTTGTTGAACTGTTAGAACTTGTAGAACCTCCTGAACTCTCAGAACCGGCAGCTTTGAGTTTCTTCAACTTTTGAAGTTCTTAGAATTTAACTGAAATCTTGACTTGGAAGAAGGCCCAACGGGCATAATCGTCCACATGTTGCGAAGCTGAACAGATCTACTTTGACTCCCAGGACTTGGACATGCTTCTTGAACGTTTCGATTTGCAAGGTGCCCTTAGAACTGTTAGAACTTCGAGACCGTTTAGAACTTGAAGAGCTAGTTGAACTTTGTTGAAACTTTGGAACACTCAAAACTCTTGGAGCTTGTAGAACTTAACACTCCAAGCTTGTTGATCCACATTCCAAGCGGTGATAGCATTGACCAACGCGGCTGCTTTCGTGTCCCTGCAGCTCCTTTTTAGGAGTAAAATCAGGCTCATTCACTGCATCAGTGGCTCAACCTTTCCAGGGCTTCAGGTAGTCAGCTGGAGCAGTTAAGGCGCTGATGGGTTGAGAAGCTGAGGAGGTGAGGAGCGGGGAGTTTGAGGAGTTGGGAAGTTGAAGAGCTTCACTCTCCTCCTCAGCTCTCAACTGCCCAACTCCTCAAACTCCAACTCCTGAGCTCCTCCAACCCGTCAACCCCTCAACTCCTCAACGCACTCCACTAACCCTCATCCTGAAACCCTGGAAAGGTTGAGCCAGTGATGCAGTGAGTGTTTCATTCAGCAGGCACAGCGGCTCTGAAAAGCCCGCCGACCCTGGTTTTTCGAAAGGGCTAGGGGTGTCGTCGCCTGTCTCGATCACTTGGGTGTCCAGCGCACCAGCTCGGAACTGCTCAGCCAAGAAATCTCATGTGAAAGATTGCACCGGAGAAGCTGTCAGTCACGGTTGTCTTTGAAAGAACTTTGGGTTGAGGGTTTCCTGGTGCACGGGCCGTTCGCCGTTCGACCTACTAGCTCGAGAAAAGAGTTCTGAACTTTTCAAAGATACCCCTGCATCACCCACTGGCCAGCATAGGCACCAGTCATTGTGCTGGACTGGCCGGCCGCACAGAGGCCCAAGGCCCACACAATCTTCATGGGTTGACCAAAAGCCTCTCCCAAATACTGACCGGCGTTTGCCAAGCCAATCCCATCAATGCCTGGCTTGTTGAAGAAACCTTTTGCAAACACTGCAACAACGAAGGTGTTTATCATCAGTGAAGTGAAAATGGCAGCTGCTGACTCGATTGTGAATAGGCCGATGGCTTCTGCCTCCCCACCAGACTGCACAACGCGACTTTGTACAAGGGCAGAGTGCAGGAACAAGTTGTGTGGCATGATGACACAGCCAACCATGCCAACGACCTGGTAGGGCAAGCACGATTACAAGACATATGGTTCGTAATGGTTAGAAAGCACAAGAAGTTTAATTGACTAAGCGCCTGCTGCATTGCTGAAGGTGGCAAGCAGGGAACCAACAGACCTTGTGCCACTGCCATGTTGTCAGGGCCGATAGTCGCATATAAACGCCCCATGGACAGAGCCAGTATCAAAATCAGAATGCCAAAGAAAAGCTCTAGTGGTCTCGTCCCCAGGCGTTCCAAGAACAGGAAGATGAAAGCTGCGAAAGCCGTCGTCAACACTCCCACCGTCAGCGGGATGCCCACAAGGAGCTCTAGACCGATGGAGCAGCCGATGACCTCCTGGATGTCTGAGCCGATGATTGCCAGCTCTGTAAGCCCCCACAGGATCTGCCGCAAAGGGAATTGGAAGTGATCCCGGCAGTGCTCCGCCAGATGCCTCCGCGTTGCACAGCCAAGCCGGGCCGCCACTAGCTGCATCCCTAAACCCATCGCCGTCGAAGCCGTCAGAGCCCATAGTAAACTGTAGCCGAACAGGGCACCTACCTGAAGGTCGGCCTCAAGGTTCCCTGGGTCGACGTATGCAATGCTCATCAGCCAGCCAGGACCTGTGAACGCAAGAAGGCGCTGGAACCAAGTGTACCACGTCTCCGATGCCTCCAGAACCACAGCACTTTCATCGTCCAGAGCAAGAGGCTTCTTCAAATCAGGAGCGCCAATTGAACCAATTGGAGTGGAGGGGTGAGAGTCTGGTGGATTCAGCAGACCAAAGGCAGCCAAGGCAATGGGTGTTGCATCCCTTGAGCCTTGACGGACCAAGCCGGCGTCAACCTTGTCCAGGCTGCCAGAGTGCTGGAGCTTGGGAGGTCTTGGGCGATTCGAGCGGTCGGCCATGTATTTGCGCTTCTGTTCTACCTGTTCTACGTTTGCAACACTGCTTTAGCTCAAGGCCTGCGCTTGCCAGGAGTTCCTCTTTCCATCTACTGCCACCAGACCCGCAAAACTACGTTAGCACATGTCAGCACAGCTACTTGCACTGCAACACATGGCATTTTGTTGTAGCTGCTGTCGGTTCCTGGGCTGCGCTTGGCCCCAGGCTGATGCAGGCAGATGGGCTGAGCATGGCTGAGCTCTTAGTAACCACAGAAAGAGCATCTTCAGCATCCCCAGATATCCCCAGTCTCCTGCAAATCGAACACAGAATGATGCCTGGAAGCGTACTGAAGACAGGTCCTTGCGACGATCAGTTGCCCATTCCCCCCACTCGTCTGAGAAAATTTAGGCATGGAGATATTCGTGAACACCTGAAACAAAGTACCAGCAGGCGCCACACCCGCTGGATTTCGGCTGCTATTTTGCCGTGGCCTCCCGACAGTGGTGTGGCACGTCAGGCGAGGTGCGACAGCTGCAACACATCGGCAGCATCTTCCACGCAGGGGCCATCACAGCCCCAAAGACCGCTCCCTCTCTTCTGATTTCTCTCCTTATGCAATCATTGATCTATATATGCTATTTCGTTCGATAGTCTGTTCAGTATATAGGCCTTTAGTGCCTCAAGTACTCATGTATTTGGCTTTTCGTTCGTGAATTCTGTATGTCGGTGTTTATCACGCTCGCTGTTTATGTAGTTATTTGTCTCGTGATTCTGTTGTGCACAACTCATGCATGCCTTTATGTGGATGGCTGCGTCATTTATCTATTTAATGTACGTCTGTATGTCTGTGTTGATGTGTTTCTGTATGTAGCAACTCGTAAAGCAATTGCGTCGTATTGTGTGTGCCTGTTATCTCGTAGTTGTGTGTGTGTGTGCGCACCTGAACATGGTGATAAGCACCACTTGATCATTTCAGTTCTCCGGTTTTCCGCAGGGGGATTGGGCCTGATGCTTCTACCCAATCCAACGAAGCTATGAAGCATCAGGGGATGTGGAGTTTGGCCCGCTCCATGTACCTGCAACTTTTTCCAGGAGTCCCTCATGGGGATTCCCCTGTACTGAGGTGATGCAGCCACTTCCGATTTCACTCTTCTTTCTTTCGCTTTCTCTGTCCAGCTGTGTGCATGCATTAACAGTTCGTGACATGCCAAAGTGTGTACCAGTTCTGGTTTTTCCCGACAGGGGCCAGATCTCAGGGGCATGTGCCCGAGCCCGCGATAACAGATGGGGGGGCTTAAAGCTTTGCAGACACCAATCCTCATCCATCGGGGATCATCTGCAGTAAGATGACATGTGCCCACAGTGGCTTCATAGTGATCACCGAGCATCTGAGCGGTCAAGGGCCACGGTCAGGGGCTGGCTACCTACGTAAAGTGCAGCGCATAGGAGCTCCGGTAGGAGTGCAGGTAGATGTGATGCAGTCGGATTGTAACAGTGCTGACAGGGTTCCGCTGAAGCATGCCGCCCCAAATCCCACGAGCCATTCCAATCAGTCACGTGCATGGCAGTCTGCTCTCCCTTGTTGTTTGGTTGCTGGCTGGTTCCCTCTTGCCTCCCGTTGTTGCACTTTGTTTGTTGCTTACTCTGCTTTGTTCCTCCCCATCCGGTCATACGCAGCGTGACTTCTCGAGCTGTGCACTCCCTCGATCGTTTCGCGAACATGTTCTTCGATCCACGAGGAGTCCGCCGGCTTGACTATTTTCGCCATTTGTCATGACACACTTGCTTGCATTTGCACCCTTGGCCCCTTAGGGGCATGTGTGTGTGTGCGTCTGAACATGGTGATAAGCACCACTTGATCATTTCAGTTCTCCGGTTTTCCGCAGGGGGATTGGGCCTGATGCTTCTACCCAATCCAACGAAGCTATGAAGCATCAGGGGATGTGGAGTTTGGCCCGCTCCATGTACCGGTAACTTTTTCCAGGAGTCCCTTATGGGATTCCCCTGTACTGAGGTGATGCAGCCACTTCCGATTTCACTCTTCTTTCTTTCGCTTTCTCTGTCCAGCTGTGTGCATGCAGTAACAATTCGTGACATGCCACGAAGTGTGTGCGCGGGCGCGTGCATGTGTGTGTGTGTGTGTGTTACCTCTCTCGTTTGTCTGTTGATGTCTTTTGGTTCGTTCGGTCTTGCGATCTTTCGTTCATAATTCATTTCGCTGCTTTCCTTCTTGATTTGCTGCTTGTTTAGTTCATTCGCTCTCCTGCATTCTTCTTAGTTCGCTATGTGTTCTTTATGTATTTATGTCTTCCGCTGTTTCGCTTCCGCTGCATTTCTGTATTAATTTCTGTTGTTTGTTGTTACTTAGTTCTTCGTCAAATTGATTATGCATGTATTTGCCAGTATTGCCCATTTCTGTCTTGGGCATTTCACTCTGCTTTTATTGCACTGCCGTCTTTCGTCCCTTCTTGATTTATGTCTTTGCAATATTTGATTTGTTTGTAGGTGGTTGTTTCTTTCCTTCTTTGGAGGGGTTGACAGGGTCCCTCCCAAGGTCCTCATCAGCCGTTGCAGCACATCTGCCTTGTTGGCAGGTCGGCTGCATCTCCGCACCTTCGGGACCACCCTACACGGATCTTCTTCAGAAAGCTTGGATGCTTGCGGATGCTTGCATGTGCTTGCATTCGCAGCCCGCCATGTCAGGCCCGCGCAGCAGCCGGTTCTGTCCTGGCTAGCCTCTGAAGCTTGGCCTGGCCGCAGTACACATCTCTGACATCTCTACAACACATCAGACAGCGATGGCGACTGTAACAGCTGCCAGCACTTTGCGCAGGGGCGGAAATGCCTCCAGAGCTTGGAAAGTGACAAAATAAAACCAGTGCAGGCAAAGGCCTTTGGACACCATTCAAATCGATATAAAGCCAAACTTTTCAAAACAACATTGCGATTAAAGGTTTAAGCTTTCGGGTTTGTGACGCTCCCGTTGTTCAGTGATCTTCATGGTCTGAGGGGATGTGCTAAGCGGTCGATATTGGGATTCTCGGCCGAGGCCATCGGTCACAGGGCATTCATATCACAATCAATGTCTCTCCACTTGGAGAGACGGTCCTCCCGCCCACAAATGCCAAGGCTGGGGTGGGGCTGAGGCTCTTTCAGGTGGAGACGCTTTTTTTCGAGCGCTCGAGCTTGGAGCCCACCCCCCAACTCAGGCTACAGCGTGTCTTGCTTCCTCGCTCGAAACACGCACAACCGATGCAACCCCACCCCGACTTCAGTCTTCGCTGGCCGCTCGCCTTGAGCGAGAGCGGGCTTGAAGGCCAGGGCCAGCCTGCAAACCTGAGAAAAAAACAGCAAACATGAATGACAATGCCATGCCAACAGTGCTGCTCGGCGCCTGGTCGCAACAGCGTTCTCCGACCGGCCGCGGGAAAGCCAGACAAGTAATGTGAAATCCCGGCTTCTTCGCTTTCATGTCGGTCTTGCCCGGACTCTTGAGTCAAACCTCGCACATGACGGTTTTTTCTTCGGTTTGCGAGTCTCGGAAGCGTCTCTCGACCTAGATAGCATAGACTGCATAGACTGCGTACAAGCAACCGAGCACTCCGTAGTTCTTCAACATCTTTCCAAATGGCTTTTGTGCCTCACGGAGGCGAAGCCCACATTCTTGGTTTCTTTGAGATTTCGTCAGATCTTTGCCGGCATGCCTCTCGGCCAGGCGCACCATTCCAGATCAGAAGGTCATTGAAACTCACGTCCAACGCCTAAGCGCACAAGACGACCAATTGTTACAGACGTCATGTAGCAAAGCGCAGCCAGCAGCACAGATATACGAGCAGCTACTATGATATGTACTATACATAACAGACATTAGTTGGTTGAAACTTTCAAGTTTGCCGGTACCTGGTTGGTTTCTGAAAGTGAGAGGCAGTCTACGCTCTTTGGTTCAGTCTCCACCCCTCGAAGATCCCTTACGAACACGTGTAGAATTGTGTAGATCCTGCGGCCTGGTGTTCCCTTCTTGGAAGAACTATGCGGCATGCTTACCGGCTTGGAAGTTGAAAACGGTGGCAAACGGGTAAGCAATGCGTGTGGTCGGTTTCGATGTCTGCAGTGTTTGCGGCAATCCATAAATCTTCATCCGGCTTCTGTCTTCCATCTGCGAAAGTTGATGCTGATGTTACACAACACAATTGCACAGAATAGCCTACATGCCTACATGAGGTTATGCTTGGTGAGCCGTTTCCAGTCCGGGAAAATGACTTGGCGCTTCCCGAAGGGGGCGGCGCTGGCCTAGACACCAAGGCCCAAGAAGTGAAGAACGGACAAGACCAGACACTTTTCGTAAAGTACAAGTTGCAGCTGCCTCGCCAAGGCCATATGTCAAGCGCAGCCTGGACGGAGCGTTTCGCTGTATGAACCGTCGGTAATTGCAACATCATAGCTCAAACTGGTGTCATCACTGAACCGTTTTGTGCGAAACTGCGAGTGGAGCAAATTGTGGTCGTAATGCTCTTGTCTCAGAAATTCGCGGCAGCCTACTCGGCCACAAGGCGCTTGGCAAGTCTCTTGCTACTGCTTAGCTACACCTGGCCGGCACTTCGCAGGCTTCTTGCTACTGCTTGGCTGCAACAAGCTTCTCTGCTTGCCTGAGGCCCAGAGGCTCCACACTCCACACTAGGCTTTACTGAGGGCGCTGATGGCCCTGCGGTAGGCAAGAAAGGCTTAAACAGAAGCCGGCTTGTGACCTCGTGCCCATTTCGTGTACAGAACAGACCGAGCCAGACGGAAGAGTCAGCGAGAGCTGAGCAGAATCTAAAACATTTTTTTTCAAGCACTGCCATCTGCCAGCTTGTAGCAAGAATCCTATCACCATGTCCGGAACTTGTAGCAAAGTTTCACGGACATGCTTCTGAAACTGACCATAGGCTGCCGGCTTTTGAGCTTGCCGTACTCCCAAACTGATGGGCTGGGAGGCCCAGCTGTCGGGGATGTGCAATGTGCTGTGCACGTGATATACATG